TTGGCTGGGCTGACCTTTCGGCCTCGCGGGCCACGGGCCAGCCCCGGCTGAGCGTCCGGCCTCCGGGTCCCTTCCCGGGGCGGTGCGGCTTAATTTCGGGTCTGGTAGGATGTAGGAGGAGTTCGAACTTCCCCTCCTTCCGGTACTCCCTGCTTTCATTTATCAGCACTAACCTTTATTTGTCATTGTCCCTCACCTTGTTTGGCTCCTTCTGGAACACTTTGGGCTCGCTGGTCCTGACTGATGGTCCTGTCATCTGGGGACATTGCGATCTTCCTGTCATCCCTCCTCCTCCACAAATTATGAGTACCCTGAGCAGCAGCAGACCTTGGCTGGAAGATGTGATAGATGAGGAGACGAGGAGATGTAGCTCTGTATTTTGGTAGCCTTCTCATCACACGCTCTGTTTTTGAAGGAGAGGGAGCGAAAACTCACCAAAGCAAATAGTTACCCAGGTTTTTAACTTCTGATGAGGCCACCGTTAATGTGATGCCTGGGGTACCGGCAGCATGCCTAACATGGAGTTGCCTGGACCTTAGAGCTGAAGTCCTTTGAGCTGTAGATGACACCCAGAGGAGACCGACTCGGCCTCCTGACAATGTGCTTTAAAACAGAAAGGCCCAAAAAAATGATCTTGAGGAATGGGTGTTCAAATCTGTCTCTAGACATCATGTGCAAACATACGGGTTTGGGGCTTGGCTCCTCCATATTCTGTTTGGAAAACGTTGCCTGTGCGTGGTCTCTGCATCGTGTTTCACGCGCGCTGGATGAGCGGTGATGGCTCTGTGAGAGAAGGTGACTGACGAGAGTTCTTTCTCTGATTCTCCTTTCCTGTCTGTGTGTATGGCATTGAATACAAGCTGAGTGAGTCTTTCCAGCATGTATAAATTAAGCTGCATTATTGAGCATGTGATTCTTTAGAATCTTTATGGGATTAAACATTCATGTTTGGGGAGGGGCCTTGTGATTTTGAACTTTTTAACACAGAAAATGAGCAAATTGAAACTTACTCTCTCATTTTATCTTTTAGATCAACTCATGTGTAGAGTGTTGTGAGTCTATGAAGCACCTTAGCAGTTTCTTTCGCTCTTCCTAGAAGGCCAGGTGTCACAGGAAAACTTCACTTTTTTTCTTACAAGAATTAAGTGGCATCCAGAAACGGCAGCGGATTACCAACCTTCTGCTGAGTGGATGGCAGCACCATTAAAAATGTAATATTTCAGAAAGTTTGTTTTATTCTCACAATGTCCCTCTGCTCCGTGGCTGTTCCAGTGTTGATATTTGAGTTTATCTAAAGGGCGTCAACCTACCAAAGGCCGTTTGTTTATGTGGAGGGCACAGCAAATGGGAAGAAGCTGCTGCTGTTCACAAAGAGTCTCTGCAGCTGAGCCGTTTGAGTGCTTCTCTTCGACTCATCCATTGAAGGTGTTCTCAGAATCAAAACTCCCCTTCTAAAACAGGACTCAGATGTGAAGCCAGCGTGTTGAGTTTGCCCCTGCAAGCCACAGCTTATGCCAGCAGGGTTTGTGCTCCGTCACTCAGGCGTGGTCTTGCCGAGTGCTTTAATAGTGTGTGCACTGATTTCCCTGTGGCTGCTCAGGGACTCAGATTAAGAAACTATGTTAAGAGATTGCTGGAAAATGATAAGCTGTCTTTTGTGTCCTGGTGAAAGAGGTTGTAAGGACAGGCTGCGTCATCAGATATGGAATGCTCTGAATCCAGAGTATGTGAATTTATCTTGCTAATTTGGTCCTCCAGAAATATCTCTGAAAACAAACACTGAGCAGTATATACGCAGCATGTGGGAAGCATGTTCAGTTGTATGCTTCAGGCACAGAACTATGTTGGGTTTAGGTAGTGTTGGTTTAGTAGCTGACCAATTTAAGTGTCTTGCAAAATACAATCTTGTAACAGACTTCTGAGCTGCTTAGTATTTCCTTTCTACAGGTAGGAAATTATGGCAAAGAGGCACCTAAAATTATGAGTGTGTCTTTGATAATAGAGAACAGACCTCGATTTCCTAAATTCCTTAATCATAAATTAACCCATGCTTCTTTTTATTAGTCCGTGATTCACATAGAACCAACAGATTGCCTGCAAATTTCTGTAACGGCGAAAAGGAATTAGAGCCTGGGGCCAAGCAGAAGAGCTCAGAACTGCAATTTGCATTGACATGTAATTTGTGGCAGGAAGCAGTGAAGAGACTTACGCAGTGAAGAGACTTGCCCAGTGATGCACATTGTGTCAGAGAAGGCTTTTGATATCAAACTGCAATTTCTTGCAGCAATATATTTTACCCTGTGATTAGTTTTGTTTGTAACAAAGTAAAAAAAAATCTTGAAGTAACTTTTAAATTAATTTTAATTTTAAGAGGAGTAGGATTTCTGATTCAACAAAGGAAAGATCTGCCCAGATCTGAATGCCTGGGTTTGAACGCCTGGGTGTGCGAGGAGGCTGGGGAAGTCCCTGTTGTTTTCTGCCATTATCTGATGAGGGCATTGTCATTTCATAATTCCCGGAATTTGGCACATCGTAAGCCTGGGGTGAAGCAGAGAGCAGCTAACAGGCTACTGCTCATCACTCGCATAACAACAATGGGTGTGTGGAAGGATGTTAAGATTATAAATCCTAAACACTCCAGAAGATCAAGATATTTCACTTATCTCTGCGGGTTCCAAAGGGAGAAATAAACTAGTAGATATCTTTGAAAGGCTGCCTTGCCATTGGAGGCAGTGACAGTGAGACTGCAAGGCTTAGCTGAGCAAGGGGAGGTACATCCTGTAGAGTGTGAAAAACACGATTGCCTCATTGTTCTTGCAAGACCTTCCATTATTTTCAGTTTGTTTATTTGATGAAACTTTGCCAAGTTTTGAAATGAGCAGAAATCTACAATCACCGCTGGACCTGGGCTGTAGAATTCACTTGCAAAAGCACTTGGAGAAGTTTTGGTTTTTTTTCTTCTTTAAAAGAAGTATGATCCAATGTAAACACATAGATTAATATTACTACTTGTATGGGTGGGCTGCTGCAGGACAGCTGTTTGATTGAGAAGGACCTGTGAATTAGCCAGGATAATTCCAGAATAAAGTTCTCATCTTTCCTGCATTAACATTGTAAAGCTTATAAAAGGTTGCGACAAGTGCTGGTATTGCATGCTACTAGGGAGCAGTTTGGAATCTAACATGGTGATGCTGGAAACATAATTGTATTTCTCTGTGTCTGCCTGGTAAACAGTAAGCAAAGTTGGTTTAAGTGAAGAAGTTGAGTTTTGCAAAGCAGTTGTAAGTAACTGCCCAGCTGGAGAGTATCTGCTGTGCTGCCTCTGTCCTCCTCCTGGGGCTACTTCAACATGTTTTCCTTCTCTGCCTTCCTGCAGGTCTCTTCCTTCCTGGAAATTCAGCAAAGAGTTAGCATTCCCAGGCTGTTGGATCTCTCTTCCATGTTAACGGATAATATTTGATATGTGCCCTGTAAATCCTGCCCTGGGACTCTGTGACCGGTGGGGTGCCTGATGCCTGTAATCCCCATTCCCCGCCGGGTCCGTTCGTTCCACGGCCCCCACACGACCTGCCTGCATTCGGCCTGTGGCCCGGTAAGGACCACTCACTTGGTGCGCACCAAGTACAACAATTTCGACATCTATCTCAAATCCCGATGGATGTATGGATTCATCCGTTTCCTGCTGTACTTCAGCTGCAGCCTGTTTACCTCCATCCTCTGGGTGGCACTCTCTATCTTGTTTTGCCTTCAGTACCTCGGCATCCGGATCTTTCTGCGTTTCCAGTACAAACTCTCCATCATCCTCCTCTTACTGGGGCGAAGGCGGGTCGACTTCAGCCTCATGAATGAACTGCTCATCTATGGAATTCATGTGACCATGCTGCTAGTGGGGGGGCTGGGATGGTGTTTCATGGTATTTGTGGATATGTAAATAAAACAAGCGCATGTGGGCTGAGAAGGTGACTTTTCTTCTACCCCCAAATGTGTCAATATCTTCTTTTTTATATAAATTTATTTATTTATCAGTGCTACCTTTTATTGATAAATTAACATACTTGTCTCTGGAATTTGTATTTTTTTTGAGGGTCAAGGTGCCATTTTGATTATCAAAGTGCAACACTTTGGGTGGTTTTTGTTTGCACAGTGCAAGTTAATATAAATTTCTTCCAGTCCTTAGGAGCCTACCTTGCCGCTGTTCCTGTGGACATGAAAAAGGCAGTGATTTATCTGGAGGGCAGAAGCCAGATAACCTTGCACCCCATGCTCTTAATCTGTCCTCACCCTTAAATGCTCCTTAATGTCTCAGGCGTGTAATATGTGTCCTGCTTGACCAGTGTTTTCCTTTCTCTATGTAGTTTGTATTTTGCATATTCCTTGCTAAGAATACAGGGCCAGATTCAACAGAGTGTAGAGGTTTGGGGCTTTTTTTCCCCTCTTTTGTTTTTAGATTTGTGCAAGACGTGCATTTGACCCACTATACTGTTCTGTTCACTTTAACTTAATTATAGAGCTTTGAACGGCTTTGTCCTTTTCAGGCAGGCAGTGCTGAGTACTTGAGTCTTACCCTAATAGTACAAATCCATGGGAGTGATGGGAGCAGAGTTTGATATCGTGTGCTCTTGAAACTCCCAGTCACAGCAAATACGTTATCGTTTTGCGGTGATTAAGGGGAACTTGGTGTTTAGGTCTTGGCATTTGGTTCTACTTTTCCCTGATTCGATTAGTTCCAGTTTTCTGGTAGAGGTACTTCTGTCTTACGGAGCATGGTGAGGTCAGACTGTCTTTCCTAGGAGAGACTGAAAGCAGAGTACAGTCTGAAATGGCAATAATTGTTCTCTGTGATTACAGAAAACGTTCTCTCTCCTACCCCTGCAGCAGTGAGAGTGGGGTCACCGGAGAGCTTTGCTAACAGCTCATAAGGAGTTAAGCCCAGTTTTACTGGTCTTGATCTAAGATCTCAGACTATTCCTCTGCAGTCAGTCAAGTAACTTTGTCGAGTCCAGAAGCTGGTGTAAAGTTTATTTTTAGTCTGTTTTTGTTTGGTTTTCCTTGTAATGGAGTATTGCTCTTTTCCTTGTGTTTTTTAAAGAACTGCTTAAAAACAAGTTGGTAAAAATGATGGAGACCCTTTTTTTCCTCTGCTAAAATCATTGGAGTTGATCATAATGGAATAAGCAAGACTGGAAATGCGTGAATGTTCTTTTATGATCTCGAGATATGAATGTGGCTGAGAACAAAGCTGGTTTGCACACAGGGAAGCATACTTTGTATTTCAGCTTGTGAGTATTGCAGTCTTTTGCTGACATACTTTGATTTGTAGGTTTATGGATGCAAAATAGAGAAGCTTCTGTCTGAAGCCCAAAGCTAAAGCAAACCCAGGAATTATCTCATTATCAAGTGTTACAGATAATGCAGACTGAATGTGCAGAGCTGAATAAATAATAGGCCACGGTGGTGTGAACTTTAGATTAGCCCCACGAGAGCCAAAGGCTGTTTCTGCAGGAAAGATGTGTCAGCATATGTCACAAACCAGGGTCTGGAAGTTTCCTCCTAACCGTGGAGCTCCCCAGAGCTTTGTTCTGGGATCGCTCTCTGGAGTGCAGGTCCTCAAGTGTCCTGCAGGTCCGAGCTACAGCTTGCTCTGTGCCCAGAGGGAATTCCCAGTAACTCCCAGCCCAGAGCTTTCCTCCCCAGTACAGCTGTCAGCCTGGGGCACTGCAGCTCTGGCGGCAGACTGCGGGACTCCTGGGGTGGCTGCGCTCACCAATTTCTGCAGGAAACCCGTTGCAGATGGCCAGCAAACGGCCGAGGGACCAGCGGGACCCCAGCGAGGCGCAGCCAAGAGCGGCTCTCCCTCGCCCTTCGCAGGAGGCACAGCACGGAGACTGGCTGGGGGAGGGATGGTAGGACCTTTATCACCTTGGAGTGACTGTATTTCAGGACTCCTTGTAATGAGGAGGAAAAGGGTGACTTGTGGTACATACGGGTGCTCCTGCGCTCCCCACCCGTGCCCGCTTCAGCTGGTGGGTGCGCTTTCTGACAGATACGCTCAACTGCTTGACCAAAGCCGTGATAGTTTGGCTGAGGCTCCGATGGAAGAGTGAAAGTTTAGGCTGTGACTGGGTCGTGAACTTCTCAGTTCCAACCTGTGCTTTGAAAACCCACACAGGAACAGGGTGACATGGTGAGCTTTGATGTATATGAGCTTGGAAACCGGAACGCTGATCATGCGATTAACACATGAATAGCAGGTGGTTCTTCCAAGACTAATTTGGTCAAGGAACAAAGGAGGTTGTGGGTACAGGGAGTCTCATACTTACCTTTTCCATCACGTGTAATTTGACTACGAGCCAGTCACTTTATTCCATAAATACGACAGCCCGAGTGAGCTTTGTTTGAGCTCTCCCTGCTACGCAGCTGGGTGCGTGGTGGTGATCTCCCCTTGAGTTGGGACGCCTCTCGGGTTTACTCCTCGAGGTTGAGACATCCCTTACCAACTGCGGGTCTTTGGTAAGTGACCGATACTGTGCATAACCTTGTATCGCAGGGCATTAAGATCTTGTTTAGGTAACTTGGAATTATTATATCCTCTGTGCAGTAATAGATTGACCCTTGCCATTGGACTTTGTTAAGCCTCACTTTTACAACATCTTACTTTGATAAAACCACTTTTGCTGCTACCTTTGGTTCTTTAAGCAGTCCAGATCTGCTCCGCGACACTCCTGCAGCGGCAGTTGAATGAGCAAGGGCTTCTGCGTTGCAGTTCATTGCTTTACTGCACGGACTTCCCGTCAGCCCTCTGCATCCACATTCAGTAGTGCATACCCAGGAAAAAGCACACCTCCTTATCAAATCACAAAAAAGTAATGTTTGCCAAATGCCCAAATGTTCCTCAAGAGAGACCTTGGGGCTAGGTTGCTTAGAAGACAGTGGGAAGCGATTCCCCGTTCTGCTTTTACAAAGGCACCCAAATACCTACTGCCAGAATGCCCTGAATCTCAGGTCTGCAACTGCACACCAAGGTCGGCAACCCCCAGATGAGTGTCTGAGGAGGGCTCGGGGGGACTGTGAAGGTCAGAATACTCCCATTCTTGGCCACCTTGCGGTGCTCAGGTAGTGCGATCCTACCAGGGTAGTGGGGAAAGTGAGGTCCCTTTGAAGTCATGCTGGCAAGGAATGGGAATTAATTTGCCAATTATTTGTTTTATGTAATAATTTGAACATTTTAGATCTGCATGAGTGGAACAGTATTTGGCACCTTTATGGCACTTTCCCCTCTTCAAAGCATTTCCCAACTGGAGCTAATTAAACCTCACAACATCCCCAGGAGATTGCAGAATAAGTAAGATCTTGGTAATGGTTCAGAATTTAAATTCAGTGTTTTTAAATTTGAGATTTTTTTTTAAAAAAGCTTTTAGGATTACTTTGCCAAAATATTTTTTTTTTCTCAAGGAGCTGAGATTCTAAAAATTTACAAGCTCAAGGGGAGCCAAGCCACAACTGAGGGAGGGAGGGAAAGGCAGAGTAAATGTTGTATTAAGTGTATGCAAAGAATAAGATGTTGGGGTTCCCCCCCCCCGCCCCGTTTAGTTTAATTGCAAAACCTGGCATTTTTAATGAAAGGAAGGGAAACAAACTTTGTAGAGTACAACAAATAAGGAAATGGGAAGCTGAACTTTCTGCTTTTCAAGAGTCAGGTGGCTTATAATATTCGGCAGAAGTAGTTCACGTTAAGCAGGTACTTGCAAACTCTGCCCCACTGGGGAAGTTCCTATTATTTTGGATTTTTTTTACTCTTTCCAAGTTAATTGATGCTGGGAGGGATGGATCAGGCTCCAAAATGTGTGATGTCTTCTCTTACTATGTAGATGGCTGTAATTCTAAAATCTTTTGAAATTTTCATTTCAGCGTTCCTTCATGCGGACTCCATTCTGAACAGCGAGAGCAACTGGTTTGTTCCCTGTTTTTTCTTTCCATGTCTGGGCTTTAAATATTGCTATTATGCTTACTGGGTTAAAAATGGCCTCAAGAGTAATTAGGAAAAATACTAGAAATACTGATTTTGGAGAGTATGTCCATCCCAGACCCATGCCAACCCCTTTGGAGAACTCCCCCCCTTGAGTCCTGCTCGCTCCAGAGCTTTCCGAGCGTTTGGGCAACAGAGAGGCTCCGGCTGCGTTGCGCAGACTTAAGACTGGGGATGACGGTACGTGCGGTGGCAAAGCTGCCTTGGCCTGTTGTTCAGCCTGTGAATGTACGAACGAGAGTGAAGTGTCGGAGTTTCACCTTGATAACTCCTCAGAACATGACACCAGCTGGTGTTTTGGTGCCTGTTAAATTCTGTATGAAACATGCCACCTACATTAAACTTTTTTTTTTTTTTAACATGTTGATGGATTGATTGGTTGTGAAGAAAAAAGGAAGAATTTTGTCCTACAATGCTGGTATCATTCTGCTGTGAGGATGTCCTAATCCTCTTCCTCTGTTTGCACCGCTGCAAAGAGTCAGAGCAGGCGCATGGTAGGGGAGAATCAGCCCCTCTGTGGTTATGCCTCACTGAGAGTTGGGTAAAACTCCTCTCTCAAACTCCTGGACATTCAACAGTGACTTCTGAGGAGAGCCAGGAGTACAGCGCAGCCTTCTAGCTCCTCGGCTTCGGCTCTAAAGCAGACTGTGTTGCCCACCATGGGCGTTTGAGTGGTTTGAAGGAGCTGTCGCTTCGTGTTGAGGTGCGCATTGGTTAATGGCTAGACGGTGCCGTCTTTCCTCCTTTCCTTGCGTGGAGCTGAGCTTGCAGTGCAGAGCTGTATTGTTTCAGGGCGCAGTTGTGATGATTCCTACGGGAATAAAGAGGAATATTCCTGCTATGATGGACTTTTTATTGTTCTTATGTGGAAGGTGCTACAGTGATGTGCAGCAGCACAAAATCCTAAAATAGATGCTGGGCAGGATTTGTTCTCCGGTGAGTGGCAAGACTGGAGCTAGTGGAGGCACAGGCTTCAGAGAACCAGCACAGAGAGGACCATTGCAGACCGAGCGGGAGGTGACCTGGAGAAATATTAGTGTGGATAGAGCAGCCCACATCCCCATGCGTGTATGAGATGCTCCTTCCTGTTATCTCAGCTGGAGAGTCACAGTGGAAGACTTGAAAGAAAGGGGAAGGAGGTTTCCAAAAGAGAGAATGATTTGAGCACGGGTGGATATATTTTCACTTTCATTATTACATAGGAAACTGTAAACAATGCTCAAAAATGCGGCTGGTGCTATTAGCACGATGGCAGATTGGAAAGTTGGTTGAGCGCTGTGGAGTATCGGACTCAATGACAGTAAAAGGCTCAAGAATGTACTATATAAATGTGCATTTTCTATTATGAATGTTATTTTTAAATACATCTCTTGAGC